AAAGCCTCCCTTCCCGTCAAAGCCTCCCTTCCTGTCAAAGCCTCCGCTTCCTGTCAAAGCCTCCGCTTCCTGTCAAAGCCTCCGCTTCCTGTCAAAGCCTCTGCTTCCTGTCAAAGCCTCCGCTTCCTGTCAAATTCTCTGCTTCCTGTCAAATTCTCTGCTTCCTGTCAAAGCCTCCGCTTCCTGTCAAATTCTCTGCTTCCTGTCAAATCCATCACTTCCTGTCTGACGGTTCAGACATGGTCATATAAATTACAACATTTTTGTACTTTTTAAAAAAAAAATTTTTTTTTTACTAATTTGAAAATTTTCACTTTCCATATCTGTTAATCTTAACTTGTTTTTGCTACTTCTAGCTTGTTTTGCTAATTGTAGCTACTTTAGCCTTGTTTAGTATGTTTCAGCTACTTTTCTACCAATTCCATCGGTTTTGTGCTCACATCTGTTCTTTTGCTTTTAATTAAACAAATTGTTAAGATGTTAAACTAAATTTTAGGGGTAATAGCAGAAAGCTCTGAAAGCTAATTAGCAACTCGAGATGGTGGATGAAGCTAAAGCAAGCTGTCCATTAATCTGGGCACTTTCTTCTTTGAGCACTAACTGTGTACCGTAGGAATGTCTAACTTCAGACACGTTGTGGGTCTCATCATTGTTTTTGTTTTATTTTGCAGCAATTCTCTGATCAGAACCCAGAGAGTGCCTCTGGCATCAAGCTAACAATGGCGCAGCTGTATTTGATACAAGGTACGGACAGATTTTTTTTCCTCTGCTCAGAGATTAAAGATGTTAAAAACTGAGTTTTATTCTGGATGTTTTTTGTTTTTCAGGTCACGTCACCAAAGCGTGTGATGTCCTGAGGTCTATTGAAGAGTTTAAGCACAAAGCAGGAATGGTAAAGACCATTAAAGATCAAACTTTTATTTTTTTTTAAGTGTTTAAATGAATTTAAATTCCTCTGCAGATTTCAGCTCTGGTGACGATGTACTCTCACGAGGAAGATATCGACGGAGCCATCGAGGTTTTCAAACAAGCTATTGAGCATTATCAGTCTGAACAGGTGTGTGAGAGAAACGTTTGATTTTATCTGCTCAGATTAGAATTAAACATTAAAACTGATGGACGTGAGTGACACTCGGTTCGTGTTTTATRGCTTGTCGTTTCTGTTTGTGACGTTTGGCAGCCCGGCTCTGCTGCTCACCTGGCTCTGGTGCGAGAAGCTGCAAACTTCAAGCTGAAGCACGGACGGAAAAAAGAAGCCATCAGTGACCTGGAGCAGCTGTGGAGGCAAGTCGTCATTAAAACTGCTGCTTCTTAAGCTGAAAACATACTCCTTGCGAACTGCCGACGTCGGCACGGGTTGTCGCAGTTTAATGACGAAAATTACGCCACCGGGCTTTTCAGCGTCGTGTCGACAGCCCCTTTTGGCACAACCCGCCGGCAGAACTTTTTGACACCCCTCCCGTGTCGACGGTAATGTGTGATTGGTCTGAAGTTCGTGGGCGTGTTTGTGCTGCGCTCGGCGAGGAAAAGAAAAAAAGAGCAACCCGCTCCCAGACCAGAAAGCAGAGTTTTATAAAATAGTCAAACAGTTAAAAACTAAGCTTGTTTCTTTGTGCTGAATGTGCTGCTGCACTCGGTAAAAAAAGGTGGGGGTGGGGGGGGGGCGCGACTCGCTCCCAGAGCCGACACCAGGAAGTAGAGTTTTATAAAGATAGTCATTCCGTGAAAAACTCATGAATGGAGATTAAACAGACGTTGTGCACMGAGGAACCTGACTGATAAAAACTGTGGAGCTTTAACCAGGACAGATGTGGATAAATACGTCGAATGGGTGACGAGTCTGACTTTTTTTTGTCTGCATTATCGGCTGTTGCGGGGGAACTCCATGCAGTGACGCATGTTTCAGGGAGGGGGGTTTCCCGAACTCGGCGCGGGGGTGTCGTAAGAACTATGAAAGGTTCATCCATTTGAACAACCAACCAACCAACCAACCATTTAACCAACAAACCATTTGAACAGCCAGCCATTTAACCAACCAACCAGCCTACCATTTGAGCAGCCAGCCATTTAACCAACCAACCAACCAACCATTTGAACAGCCAGCCATTTAACCAACCAACCAACCATTTGAACAGCCAGCCATTTAACCAACCAACCAGCCAACCATTGTACCAGCCAGCCATTTAACCAACCAACCAACCAACCATTTGAACAGCCAGCCATTTAACTAACCAACCAACCAACCATTTGAACAGCCAGCCATTTAACTAACCAACCAACCAACCATTTGAACAGCCAGCCATTTAACCAACCAACCAACCATTTGAACAGCCAGCCATTTAACCAACCAACCAACCATTTGAACAGCCAGCCATTTAACCAACCAACCAAACAACCATTTGAACAGCCAGCCATTTAACCAACCAACCAAACAAACAACCAACTAACTATTTGAACAGCCAGCCATTTAACCAACCAACCAAATAACCAACCAACTAACCATTTGAACAGCCAGCCATTTAACCAACCAACCAGCCATTTAACCAACCAACTAACCATTTGAACAGCCAGCCATTTAACCAACCAACCAGCTAACCAACCAACCAACCAACCATTCGATCAGCCAGCCATTTAACCAACCAACCAACCAACCAAACAGCCAACCAACCATTTGAACAGCCAGTCATTTAACCAACCAAACAGCCAGTCGACCGACCGACCGACCGACCGACTGTTGTAGTGACATAACAGCTTGAAATGTTTCCTGTTTTTACTCAAATATTTTAAATGTTAAACTTTTCTCTTCTCTCAACAGACAGAACACCAAGGACGTTCACACTTTGGCACAACTCATCTCAGCTTATTCTCTGGTGGACACAGAAAAAGCCAAATCGTATCCTTTTTTACCTTCAAATTTTTAGAATTCATAATTGTAAACAATTAAAGTTAGGATTAATCTGACTCATAGTTTTGCATGTTTAATATTTGATTTTTAGATTCTTATTGTGATAAATTATCAATTGTTTTAGAATAAAATCTTTTGTTAGCAAAATGTAAAAGTAAATCCGAGGGCCTACAGGACGAGTTTAACGTCAAAATTTCCATGTTTTCATCTGGTTTGGTTTGTTTGTTCCTCATCGTTTACCTGCAGCCTCAGTAAACACCTGCCATCTGCGGACGCCATGTCCTTCAAGGTGGACGTGGACGAGCTGGAGAACTCGCACGGCGCCACCAACGTCAGGAAAAAGGCGGGAAAAGTTGTTGGAGAGAGTCTCCCCAAAGAGCCGGGGTGAGTTTTCACTGTTTACTGTTGTTGTTTATGGCTCAGTTGATTTGTAAACAAACAGAACCAGGGGACTTTAAAGTTGTTTATTTTATTTGCAGTCAAACAGAAGTCAAAAAGAAGAGGAAGAAAAAGAAAGGTGGGTCCAAGTTTGTTTAAAATGCTTTGATGAATTTGTTTTTGTTTTTTTTGTTCTTGAAGTTCTCGTCTCACAAACTTTTTTTTTTTTTAGGAAAACTGCCCAAGAACTARGACCCCAAACAGACCCCTGACCCCGAGCGGTGGCTGCCCATGAGGGAGCGCTCKTACTACAGAGGCAAGAAGAAGGGCAAGAAGAAGGAGCAGATCGGGAAGGGAACGCAGGGAGCGACAGCAGGAGCTTCAGCTGACCTGTGAGTGGACCGTTGTCCAACACTTTGTCCTCCTGTCCTCTTTAGACTCTCAGACTTAAAAAGATCTTAATAATTGATTTTGTTTTCTTCTTCAGAGACGCCAGTAAGACCGCCAGCAGCCCCCCCACCTCCCCGAGACCAGGATCAGCGTCCGGATCGTCTGCGGCGCCCGGCGGCGGCAGCGGCGGAGCCGTCCCTCCACGACAACAGAAACCCTCAGCTTCAGGAGCCGGCCGCAAGAAAGCACCACAGAAGAAGAAAAAAGGAGGGAAAGGAGGCTGGTAGCAGTGAGAGGTGACTTCTGAGTCAAGTTTTTTTTTTCTCTGTTCAGGTTTTTATTCACTTTTCTTTAACTATAAATCCTTTTTTAAGTATAAAATGAAATTCGAGGTAAACATATTTAAAAGATGGTTCCACTGCTTTTATTTTGAAATTATTTTTTGTTCTTAAAACCAGAGAACTTCATAAATAATCATTATTCATTTTATGTAAAAGTGTATTTTTATGGTAAAGCTTCTGTAAAAACCCAAAAGGAACAAAAATGTCTTTAAATGAATAAAATTTAAAGTTAAATATTTATAATCATGTCAGATAATTTTGTGGATCTTTCTTCTGAAATCAGGATCAGAAATAAATCTGTTCTTTAAAAGTCCCAATTATAGAAGATGACTTTAAGATATCACTTTATTTGTCTTCAGCAGTAAAGATATTTTTGTTGTCAGTGTTTCTTTTTTCTGTAAATAAAACTCTGAACAGCGGCATGGCTCCTGTGTTTTACTGTTAGATCTGTTGATCCACAAAAGCTATGATAACTTTAATAGTTTTATTAAATATGAAACAGTTGCAAATACTTTTATTTTTGTGTATTTTATGTTTTTGAAACAAAAACTCGTAATTTTAAAAGCGCAACATTGAAATACATTATTACACTTGTTTTCTAACGACTGCCTTTTGTAGCAAACTTTGAATTTTATTTAGTTGAGTTAAAATAAAATGTATCAAGGTTACCTGAATCAAGAGTTTTTTTAATAAATCCTGTTAGATTTTTGTATTTTTTCCCCCTCTGCCGCTGTAGGGTTCTGAGGCTCGCTTCTGAATTGTTAAAATGCTCATAAATTTTTTTACAAAAAAAAAAAAAGTTCAGTTCTAAAACTGTAGTACGTAAAATTATCAAACCTGATTTGAATTATTGCCCAGTGAAATCATTTCTTTCCCAACTTGGTTTATTTGTGAAAATAAATTGATGAACCGTGAACTTGTTCTAATGCTTTTTTTTTTAAGCTTTCATAAATAAGAAAGATCTTGGAAATCTCGGACTGTTTTAAACAATCTGTTTATTGTATAAAATAATCTAATCCAGGTTTAAACCATCCATTACTGGATTGGGCGTCACGTGACCTGGACGTGCTCCGCAAGTGGGATTTTTATGCATTGAGCTAACGCTAACGCTAACCATTGAAATCAATGAGCAGAACGTAGCGCGGCACGGAGCAAACAAACGCTTTATAAGTGTACAAATGGTTCAAATACTTTGCTAAAAACTGCAGGAATTGTTACTTTACAATTCTGTTTCACAATAAATATTCAGGCATATTTGACCAAAATTATTTTAATTATAAAACCTTTACGCTAACATTTAAAAAGCTGTTCATTGTTTTAGCCTTGTTAGAATTATTTGTTGACATTTACAGATATGAAACATGACTGCATAATAATTCAGAAATTATGATGTAGACTCATTAATGACGGACACTAATGTAATGATTGAGCATCATAAATGTCATAAACATAAAATAGTCACGTTGTCATACAGGCGGGTTTATTCGGATATTATTAGGCCTGTATGGTCTACAATCTACATCCAGTATTTGTGTTTTTCAACCCTTCCAGACAAAAAGAAAAAAAACTTGTGCCGGCTGTGGGTCGGCTTCAGATACAGCCTGCTTTATGAAGCTAAAGAATTATTTCTTGTAATAAAAATAAATTCAAACCAGTTAACAACCACAGGAACGCCCACGTTCCGTTTGCACTTTCACTTTCCATGACGTCATACGCTGCTTCTACAGTGAGAAAAACAACCAATAATATGGCCAACCCTCCACGGCCACGCTCAAACTGAGCGAGTAGGAAGTAGGGCGAGGGTGTAGCCACCGACTGGGAAAGGCCCATAGATTACAGTATAGGGCAGTGGTTCCCAAAGTTGGAGTCGGGACCCAAAGTGGGGTCCTGAAACATCAAGGTGGGGTCCTGAAAAGATTTTCTGAATTAATTACATTTTTGCCTTAGTTGCCTACACTGTTAAAAACAACCTATAGAATTTAACCAAAAAATTGGGGTAACAATTTGCAACCAATTTACTTGGGTAAATTTAACCAAAAACTATTAGTAAAATTTAACAAAAAACTATTAGTAAAGAGTATCTAATGTCAACAGCTTTAAACCACTTAAATACATTAAGTAAAGTCTACCTAACTTTTTTGGATTTATTTCAGTACCAATTACCCTAATATTATGAGTAATAGTAACACTTTTTTGTGTGTGGATGCACTTAGTTTATTTGGGTAAATTTAACTAAATACTTTGTGTTTATTTGGGTATATTTAAC